CGGCTGAGTGCAGTCACAGAGATGCTATGGCTGCTCTACATGACATTAATGGTTTGGTCCGAGAATGGACACCATTTCCTGCTCCCAGAGAGAATGACGCTCCTCACACTGAACAATACAGCCATTGACACTGTCTCACGTGGGTCTGCTCCCCCCCACCGAGCCATGAACTGGAAGCTGGAACACTTGGAACTGTCACACCAGCACCAACCCTTGGGTCAGTTAGATGAGACTAACGGCTTCACTTAGGGCATATGGGTCAGAAATATGACTCTCGTTACCACGGAGTGGGTTGTTTGTTTTTTAAGGCTATTCATACTGCTATGCAGAGTGAAGAGCCCCTACTATTTTAACAAATAGACCTGATGTCAGGGGCCTCTTACTGTCTACTTCTGCATGTATTCACATTATATGGACCATGTTTACACCTGTTGAAACTAGGGCTGCACGGAACTCAGGCTACAATACAACCATTTTGTTCTGCTCTAACGATTCAATTTATAAATTCTACATCAAAATAGTTCGGTTTATTGTTTCCAATGATAACGTCACCTTAAGTGGAGGAATGCAAACCTGTTTTAAAATGTAAGGTTTTGAATTTCTTTGACATTTCTCAGTAATGACACCCTCAGACGCCCACTATCATTTATGCCAGTGGTTCCCAAACTTTGTTGTGCCCAAGGCACACCAAAGGACAAGTAAAAAAAAATCTCAAGGCACACCTATTGTGAAAAGATAGCCCTTATAACACGTGTTATCACTCATATTATGTAAAGTATCTGTAAATGTGCATAATTATTTACTAATGCCAAATAAAATGTGACAAAGACAACTATATTACGAAATATTTCCGAAATTAATTTGAAACTTTATCAAATTAGGCTTCATCAAGGCAGCAACACACTCATTTACACCAGACAGGTCACAAAATAGAAAATGAGGCAAAAGAAACTCAGCAGAAATTCAGCACAGACAACTGTCAATGCAAGGAAGCTGCATTGTCCATGGTCCGGAACTACAAATTATAAATGTATTACTAAAAAAAAAATGTAATATATTACACTACTTCGTTACTATCTACATAAAGTAACTCGGTACTTTACTCGTTACTTTCCTCGCCGAGCACGTACAAACTGCGCATGCGTGAGTCGCAATAACTTTCCTTACCAGCAGGCGGCGGTAGTCAAGACCCCAGGTAGTGCGCCGGACTCAGATGAAAATATTCGTGCTGGCCAAACGGCGGTACTACACTTCCGGTTTGGTTGCCAGGCCCGGAAACACTTTTCCCATTGACTTACATGGGGAAAGAGTGGTCTGTAACTCGTTGGATAATTTTTTAACTAAATAAACTACCCAGTATGAACACTTGTATAGCCCTTATTAAAAAACATTCGTTCCTCAAGTTGTAAAACATTTGCTAATAACGTTATTCTGAGAGTTATTTCCCTCTGCATTATGAACGCGCATCTAATCCACGGGACCGCGCAGCCCGGCACGTTCATGTTACGTGTCCCGACCAATCAGAGCACACTGTGCTCACAGGGAGGGTGCTGGAGCCAGGCTCTGGCTGGAGCTTTTGGAGCTACAACGAGCGTTAAAGGCAGAGAGTGGAATTCAGTGAATACACGTAGTTTACAGAGATGCTGTATGAGGAACCAATGTGAGTTGCGTTTATCTTTACCCATGGATGCACAATGGGAACGGATCCATATCGTCTTACTGCCATCCCACGGAGCTGTAATAATGGATATATTGCACATGTTTGCTGTAATTCATTGTCATACTACATGGGCTGTATGATTGAATCTTGTACCGTAAATGTTGTATTAAATGGAGTTAATATTACCGATATCACTAGATCATTACTAGCTAGCCGCTAGCTGCTAACTGCCGCCTCGTTCATATCAAATCCATGGCGGTAGTGTGTATTTGTCATTTAATACAGGCAACAACCGGAACACAGAGAAGAAGAATAGACTGCGTGATATAAAATAATGGGCATACCTCCACCCCTCGATAGTTATCGCTGACTCAGCCATGTTTATGCAGCACTGCACGTGGAGATGTGGACGCGCAAGTCGCGCAGATTACGTACATAAACCTACAAAGTACTGATATAGTAAATTAAAAAAATAATTGATTATTTTTGTGTAGTTGTATATTGAAAAAAATAATGTATGGTTGTCACAAAATCCCACGGCACACCCGGACTTGCCTCACGGCACACCAGTGTGCCGCGGCACACCGTTTGGTAACGGTGGTAACTCAGATGCTTACATGGACGTGTATGTTTTTCTTCCTCTTCCTCAAGCACAGCAGCAGTGGCACACTGCTGCCTGGGTTTTAGCCCCTTTTTCAGCCTGGAGCGCAGGGTCTTCACCTCATCAATGAAGGCATCCTTCTGAGCCCTCAATGCCACATTTTCCAGCATCACCTGCCTGCAGTCTTCTTCGTCACACTCGGTATGTGGGGAGAAGGGTGGAGGGTGCACCGGGTATTCCTCCTCATTGTCTATATCCAATGATGTAGCCATTCCAATGATGGGATTAGTCTCTCGGAGGTCATGGAGCAACTGCAGGGCCACACTATGCTTCAGCCTTGCCATGACCTGATGTGCCTCATCTCGGGAGAACTCAGGGTGGTCATGAGTTACATGACGGCAGTGGCGTAGCCAGGAATTATTGTGTGGGTGGGCCTGGAGAAATGTAGGTGGGCCAGGGGGAGACATATTAAGCGTGGGGTCTGAGCTGAAACTTCATTAATGATTTTAATGATTTTTTAATGCACTAATACAGCCTTTCCCAAACTCAGGGTCCAAAATGGGTAGCGGAGCCGTTTTGATTGGGTCGCCAGTTAAATGCATTGCTAAACACACACACAGCATCAGAGCTGATGGCTGCGTTGCAAATAAAAAAAAATTATAATTTTATTTTTTATTTTGAAAATGAAATTATGCAATATAGCATTGTGTATGGAATGATTTAATTTTCTAAATACAAATAAACTAAAAATAAAAGATTGTATTTGTATCAGCTCTGACGCGTCCCCCGCGAAAGTTTTCGCGCCGTCTGTTTATTGTCTGTTGATTAATCCCGATCGTACATGATGGCAAAAAGACGATACAAAAAGGAGTTTTTAAACGTTGGCTTCACAAAAGCTGTTAGAAATGGAGAGGAGCGGCCTCAGTGTGTTTTATGTGGAGAGGTGCTCAGTAACGAAAGCTTGAAAATGAATAAATTGGACCGACATCTCCAAACAAAACATCCTCTGCATCGGGACACATCGAAGGATTTTTTCATCTGCAAAGAAGTCTTTCAAGAATCAGTGTTTTGACGGCGGAAAAGTAAGTCACTCATTTTAATCATTTGATTTGTGTGTTTGTGAGCTTGTTAGGGTCTGTTGTGAAATTGTTTCGTTAATGCAAAGTTGGATGAAATGCAGACTGAGCCCCTGAGCGGACCGCCAGCTGCGCGCTCCCGCGAGTCCACTACATTCTGCAGCGGCATAGAGCTGTGTTTCAACTTTTACTTGCCTGAAATGTTTTTAAAACGGCCGGGAGATTAGAGGGAAAGTGACAGGCAGTATGAGAAGGAAAGCGAGAGAAAGTATCAGCCGCACGGACGTGAATGCTGCAGTGTGATGCACATAGCCGCGGGAAGTCATTTTGCTCAGGGGGTGCTGCCAAAAGTGGGGAGGGGCCGCTTAAAAAAAAATGAAAAAAGGCGGGCCCGGCTGTCAGCGACATAGATATATATAAACACTAGATGACTCACCCGCGCTGCTGGCCAATGGAGACCGACGTTGCCACATGGCCGCCATCTTGCTACAGGTAGTGCTCTCATTCATAACATTATGGTTTACTATTTAAATAACCATAGCTTGCTCAATTTTCAACCAATTTTCAAACGGTTTGGTTTTTTATAAACATCAAAGATGTAGTTATGATACTGTATACTTATAGTCATGGACTTTCTCATGAAAATAACATTAAGCAGATAAAGCAATAGCTATACACAACACACAAGGTATTTATATTAAATATTTGCTGGTGTATATATTTCCATTTATTTTTATTATATTGTTAATATTTAAAATAAATTATAAAATTAAAATATATTTATATTTTATATATAAAAATCGGTCTCATGTTACCACTGTAAGCCAAGAGTTGTTAATTTAGCAATGCCTTAGCTTGAAGAATAGGGACACAACTAATGACAATAGCATATGGTGGCATATTATTTAGATATTCACACCTTTATCAGAAGAACCAAAACAACATAAAATGAGCTCACAGACAGGCCAGTTCTGTCTCATTTATCACAATTATACGAATATATAAATAATAGTAATATGGAAATTAATAAGTTACTTTTTTAACAATTCAATGTTCACTTATCAATACTGTGAGCCTGATTTTTTTTTTACATTCTCCAACAGAAAACACAACTCAGCGTACTTTTAAGAAATTGATCTTAATAGGCTTTTCCCCTTATAAGGCAAAAATATGTTTTGAGGCTCTGGACAAAAATGGCTATTTTGATTGTAAAGGTTGCCAATCCCTGGGTGTAGTTTCAATGTTTGCACATGTTTATTCAAGTGTATGAGTGACATAGAGCAAGTGAGATGGCCAGTGGTTCTCAAACCTTTTACACAGAGTACCACCTCAAATTATATTGGGCTCTCCTAGTAACACCATCATAGACCTTCCTGGGTACCACCGAGATAAAGGATTTAATATGACAAGCCATATGATGCTCTCATTTGTTAGTGACATTCCACATTCAAATAAAACAAGATAAGATGGTACTTTATTGATCCCAATTTGGGAAAACATTTTTAGTTACAGCAGCATAAGGGACAAAGCATTTTACAATGAATTAGAAATAAGCAAGAAAAAGAAAGAAAATAAAGAAAGAGGAAAATATACATGTTGAGTTTGGCAGGATATTATATATATGTATTCATATACATATGAATATACATAAATATAAGGCATATGGAATATTAATGTTAAATATTAAATAGATTATATATGTGTAAAATGTACAACGTGGTTATATTCAAGAGAAACTATGGAGCAGAGAGTTATCTTCCAGCCAGAGGTGATTTGTTGAGTTATGGCACTGCGGAGCTGCAGCAGTCTGTTGGAGAAGGAGCTCCGTTGACTGTCCAGCTGCAGGTGGAGAGGATGGGTGGGGTTATCCATGATGGACAACAGCCTGTTCAGTGTCCTCCTCTCCACCACAGCTTCAAAGGGGTCCAGCTTGATGCCGATGACAGACCCAGCTTTCCTGATCAGTTTATTGATCCTGCTGGTGTCACCGGCTCTGATGCTGCCCCCCCAGCAGACCGGAGCAAAGAAGAGTGCACTGGCCATAACAGACTAGAAGATCTCCAGCATCTTGCTGCACACGTGAGGATCTCAGCTTCCTCAGAAAATAGAGTCTGCTCATCCCCTTCTTGTGCACAGCATCAGTGTTGATCCTCCAGTTCAGTCCGTTGTCTAAGTGCACTCCCAGGTATTTGTAGTCCTCCACAACAGCCACATCCTCTCCCAGAATGCACAGGGGTAGAGGAGACGTCCTCACCCTCCTGAAATCAATGACCATCTCTCTGGTCTTGGCCACATTCAGAATACTCACAACATTAGGCTGAGGTTCATCTTCCGCTCTTCTTGAAGTGGTTGTGCTTCTTGTTGCTTCCGGCTAAAATAAACATAATTAAAGACATTTTGAGTGTTTAAAATGTGCTGTAATACACAACACATTATTTATTCCTAAACTTGCAGAAAGAAAAACAAGTGTGACATTTAATCACATATTTATATATCAATCTTATACACCTTGAATTCTTGTTGGCCAATGATACACATACCCTTTGAAGATGAGCTGGGAAATTGAATACTGTTGGCACAACACCATCTTTAAGCCGGACAGTCTGCCCCGTCCTGTCAAAGTCCTCACTCCTGAAGTGCTCACTGCAGAGCAGCGTCCTGCCAGAGGAAACAAAACCGTCCCTTCTTAGGGCAACTTCCCACTGCCTCCTCCTCTCTCCGGTTTTGGGAAACCTTAAAAACATGAGAAAGGTAGCCAGATATATAAATTATTGTCAACATTGTCCGCCCTTCTTTCCTTTAACATTAAGGGTAAGGACAAAAATACACCCCGAAATTATCATATTTTTGGGGTAATTGTATGTATGTATGTATGTATGTATGTAATGTATGTATGTATACTTTAAGAATAAGACAACCACACTAAGAGTAATAAAAAAGGTGTCCAAAAGAAACATTACATAATTGTGTAAAGAAATGGTAGCAACATATTCTAAAGAGGCTGGGTCAACATCAATCTTGCAATACTATTATCTCACATAGCCCCACTGATCCTGTGTAGCAGGACTTGTAATGTACATACATCCACTAAGTAATTAACGATTATCCTAATTATAGTCATAATATTGTCATATCTTACAGGTGAAAGGTGATCCCACGGGTTCTTGTTTGCAGACTGCGGCGATTAGAGCATCCGTAGGCTGCACAAAAGTCAGGCATAGTCAGGTACTTCTGTAAACACAAAGCCAGCAATTTCCTGTATCATAATGTATCTAAAATGTAAGATGTTTTTAACAAGCCCAACCACTTGGAAGAAATCATGTGTAACTTAAGTTATGTTGGAAAGAAAGAGCAGTTCTGCCTCTCCCACTGGTGTAAAGTTGCTGGGTCAACTTTGTAATACTAGGTCTCACTCACAGCCTCTTGTTATTAGCCAGCTAATAAATACAACCACATACACAAAGAAAAGCTGCAATTTCAACATGTCCAAGCATCCTGTATCATAGCCATGCTAATAACGTTTATAATAAACAAAACCGTTTGTAAATCTGTCAAGATTTCAGCGATTTAAGAGTATTTTTGTGCAGATCACTCACCTTACAACAGCTACCATAGCGCGTACCAGAGTAGCTGTTGACTGTAGCAAGATGGCGGCCGGTGAGCTACGCTGGAAAATCTCCCATGAGCCATCTAGTGTTTATATATATCTATGGTCAGCGATACAAGCCACATAAATTGTTTGTTTAAGGCGAGACATGGCAGGAAAAAACATCGTTTTTCATGCACTGGTCAATTTTGAGATGTTGTGCTATTTTGATTCCATAACATGTTTTCTTTCAGGCTTTTGGAAGGAAAACGTACAAAATACACATTTAAGTGTTTATTTTACTATAGTTTGTCTATTTGCGTCTGTATATTTCTCCTAAATTCACCAAAAGTTAGCATTCTAACGTAACATAAAGTACCGCGACCGCTGTTTGCACATGTCATCGTTGGAAAGCTCCGTCTCTCATGCACAATCTCATCGGATCCAAATATGGTCATTTCCTTTGTATCAGCAACCAATCGTGAAAGTACAAAAGGGTCTTAAACCAAGAAACGAAATCTCATTGGCTGGTGTCAACTTCTGACAACGTGATTCGTTCAGATGCGTCATGTGGTGTGCTAAAACACTTCCTGGTTAGCTTTCCGCTAGAAATTGAAATCTCAAAATGGCAAAAGAACGGCGAAAAAAACGTTCACAGAGAAGACAACAACAATTGTCACTTGCACGAAGCAAGGTTATACAAAAAACAAATGACCCCGAACATGAAATACCTTCACGGAGTGCGTCGATGCGCAAGCTGTCATCCAGAGAACAGGAGGGTTTAGCTAGCGCCTCACTGCAATCTTTAAAGCAGGGGTGCCCAACCAGTCGATCGCGATCGACCGGTCGATCGCGGGGAGATTCCCAGTCGATCGCGAGATCTGTCTAAAAATAGAACAACAATATTCTGTTTTATCGTTAATGTCCTATAACATAATCTTCCCGTGCCAGAATAATGCACTTGAACGCATCAAAGCTTTGTGATTGGCCGGCTAGACCCCATGTGTCGGGGCGTGGCTGGTCGGCAGTGGGCAGTGCACTATTTCGCTGACGTTGTCCAACGTGTCCGTGTCAACAGGAGTGACAGTCCGCACACACACAGGGCCGCAATTATGGCAGAAGCAAAAATGCCCAAAATATATAATTTTCACTCCGAGTGGGAGGATGATTATTTTTGTATCTATTCCAATTCAAAGTCCATCTGTCTCATCTGCAGTGCGAGCGTGGCTTTATCGAAGAAGGGTAATTTTCTAATTTAGGAGCGGCATTTCAAAACAGTGCACAAACGCTACGAGACGGAATTCCCTCCTAATTCTGCCCTACGCTCCAAAAAGGGGAGGGGCCTGAAAGGACAGCTAAATGCACAGCAGTCCATTTTCACCCGGCCCAACAACAAGAGCAAGGCTGCTACCATAGCATCTTATCGTGTCAGTCACGTTCTTGAGAAACACATGAAGTCTTTCAAAGACGGCGAAGTTGTGAAAGAAGCATTCCTGGAGGCTGCCGACGCGCTTTTGGGGGACAGTAAAAATAACAGTAGCTTTTCAACAGGGTTTTGATATAATAAAAACTCAAGTTAGATACCGTTATTAATCAGCTGTAAGTTTTAGTTTGTTTGAACTTATTCATTATAATTATTGTACAAAATAGTATAAGAATGCAAACTTAAATTGATTATAGTCTATTATCAATTCAGGTTAAGAAACTAGTGTTGCTGGCATCCTATTTTAAAAAGGCATTTATTTTTATAATCTACTAAAATGCAACAAAAAAAGGGTTTGATTCTATTAATGTTGTCTTTTTTATTGCACTTTGGCAGCAGATTCCAGTGTAGCTTCAGATCTGAGTTATTAATAAGCCTAATTTATACTTTTGTAGCAACACTATTTTTATATAATGGCAAAGAAAGGGTTCAGAGTCTTTTCTTTTTCCCTGTGTCATATGTGGCAGCACTGTTCAATGTTTCTTAAACATTACCCACTGTAGTGACGTGTGAATAAACTCCAACTCTGTATCAACAACACTGTTGTGTAACTTCAGTTAAATACTTGTATGTGTGTAGATTAGAAAGAGGTAAGATAAAGGATCTGCAGTATTTTATGAAGTATTAATCGTACAAAGTTCAGTTTTATACAAGTAGAAGTGTGTATTTACCTGGTAGTAGGCTGTCAGTAACTACGCCTCTCTATTTGGACTGGTAGATCTCGGCAGACTGGCAACTTTAAAAGTAGCTCTCGGTTAAAAAAAGGTTGGGCACCCCTGCTTTAAAGGTTGTTTTCTCAAAATGAGTTGTTTCTCCTACTCTGAGTCCGACATTTCCATTTCAGTTGCACTTACATACACCAAACCTTCCAGTTATATTCCTATCAATATTATGAAGGCTTTTACAGAAGGGTTTGTTCATATGTCATTCATAGCCTGAATTATACAAGTTTTTATACCTAGAAACATGGCGAAAATTGATATTTTAGGGCTGTTGACAGTATTTTCTGATTAATGGAGTGATACAAAGAGATATCCAAAATCCCTTCAGTAAAAGCCTTAGATACTAATATGACTACAAAATGAAACGAGAATTTTGAACCTGGCTTTATCCAAAGTTCAGATTTCGGTTCCTGAAATGTGTTAAGATATGCGCACATTTAATGGTATAATGGATAATTTGCATATTCAGAAAACTTGTAATACAAGAAACAATTGCCTCATTGTAGGTAATTAACTGGAGAGATTTCCAACTGATATCTTTAAGTTAAAAAAAATTACCCTATTCACCTGGTGTCTCGCCTCTGTTAGGCTTAATACACCATTATAGACCTACATCACTTAGCAACAGCTGCACATGCCCACATGCTAACTATGGGTCTTACAAACCTACATAACATTACAAATAGTCAGGAAATATTATTTACAATATTAATAAAACTATGAATTCAATTTTAACTGATTGACAAGGCAAAACACTGCACAGCGGCAGCAGCATTAAAGGAAACATATCGTCTTACCTTGTGTTGGGGCTTCACAAAACTCCAAATGTAGCCTGGGGTGGCACTAATGAAGACCCTCATTAGAGCAGATACATCCACATTGTCCAAAATGTTACTATGGATATGCATTAAAGTCAGATGTGTCAGTCTCTTCTGTGTCATATTACTCTAGTTGTAGAGGTGGTGGGCTGAGGAGTAGCTGGTGGTCCACTCTTTTTATTGGGTTGTTTGTTGGAGAAAAAAATCCAAAATCCTTTTTTGCGCGATTCTAGAAAGTTGTCACTCTGCAGTGTGTGTGTGTGTGTGTGTGTGTCGCGTCAATTACGTCACTCTCCCACGACCTACGACCTAGATGATTCGGATTTTATTTATTTGGAAAATTCAAGCCACCTGACATATATATAGAAATATATTCTATGACTATTATATGCTACTGTATACAGCTAATTTTATTTTAAGTGAAATCATAACTATTTTATGTAGTTTAATCATTTTTATTTAGGTGGTCACTCAGTTTTTCAAATGTACACCACTCGCCAACAGGGGGTGCTGCAGCACCCCCAGCACCCCTACTTCCCGCGGCTATGGTGATGCACATACATATGGGGGTTATTCCCTATATCTTTATTCAAGAGCGTGGTCTTTAAATTTGAGAGCATTCTTTATTGATTTCACGTTCAGAATATGTATTTATTTCCCTCTAACCCTGTCCTCGCACTCAAATAGTGCCTGCTTGCGCTTAGATCTGCTCTGCTTCTGCTCAAACTGTAGCTTACTCAGATATATTGCTGCTTACAGATTTCCTCTGTTCCAGCTTAAAACCTTCTCCTCGCGAAATGTCTGCTCTCAGATTTCTTCTGTGCGCGCTCGGATCTTTTGTGCAACAACAACCCTGTCAAAATCCCTCTGTGGGGATTCCCCACAGTATTGAGTATGTAAGTCGCTTTGGATAAAAGCGTCTAACAAGTAACTAATGTAATGCCGCGGGAAGTCATTTTGCTCAGGGGGTGCTGCCAAAAGTGGGGATGGAGCCGTTTACATTTTTAAAAAAAAAGGCGGTGCCGGGCCCGGCTGTCAGCGATACGAGCCGCATACATTGTTTGTTAAAGGCGAGACACGGCAGGCAAAAACATCGTTGTTCATGCACTGGTCAATTTTGAGATGTTGTGCTATTTTGATTCCATAACATGTTTTCTTTCAGGCTTTTGGAAGGAAAACGTACAAAATACAAATGTAAGTGTTCATTTTACTATAGTTTGTCTATTTGCATCTGTATATTTCTCCTAAATTCACCAAAAGTTAGCATTTCTAACGTAACATAAAGTACCGCGACCGCTGTTTGCACAATGTCATCGTTGAAAAAGCTCCGTCTCTCCTGCACAATTATCTCATCGGATCCAAATATGGTCATTTCCTTTGTATCAGCAACCAATGGTGAAAGCACAAAAGGGTCTTAAACCAAGAAACGAAATCTCATTGGCTGGTGTCAATTTCTGACAACGTGATTCGTTCAGATGCAAAAACGTGGTGTGCTAAAACACTTCCTGATTAGATTTCCGCTAGAAATGTAAATCTCAAAATAGCAAAAGAACAGCGAAAAAAACGTTCACAGCGAAGACAACAACAATTGTCACTTGCACGAAGAAAGGTTATAAAAAAAACAAATTACCCCGAACATGAAATACCTTCACGGAGTGCGTCGATGCGCAAGCTGTCATCCAAAGAACAGGAGGGTTTAGCTAGCGCCTCACTGCAATCTTTAAAGGTCGTTTTCTCAAAATGAGTTTTTTCTCCTACTCTGAGTCCGAAATTTCCACTTCAGTTGCACGTACATACACCAAACCTTCCAGTTATATTCCTATCAATATTATGAAGGCTTTTACAGAAGGGTTTGTTCATATATCATTCATAGCCTGAATTATATAAGATTCTATACCTAGAAACATGGCGAAAATTGATATTTTAGGGCTGTTGACAGTATTTTCTGATTTATGGAGTGATAAAGAGAGATATCCAAAATCCCTTCTGTAAAAGCCTTAGATGCTAATATGACTACAAAATGAAACAATAATTTTTAACCTGGCTTTATCCAAAGTTCAGATTTCGGTTCCTGAAATGTGTTAAAATATGCGCAAATGTAATGAGATAATGGTCATTTGCATATTCAGAAAACTTGTAATATAAGAAACAATTGCCTTATTGTAGGAAATTAACTGGAGAAATTACCCTATTCACCTGGGGTGTCTCGCCTTAACTAGGCTTAATAAACCATTATACCTACATCACTTAGCAACAGCTGCACATGCCCACATGCTAACTATGGGTCTTACAAACCTACATAACATTACAAATAGTCAGAAAATATTATTTACAATATTAATAAAACTATGAATTCAATTTTAACTGATTGACAAGGCAAAACACTGCACAGCGGCAGCAGCATTAAAGGGAAAATATCGTTTTACCTTGTGTTGGGGCTTCACAAAACTCTAAATGTAGCCTGGGGTGGCACTAATGAAGACCCTCATTAGAGCAGATACATCCACATTGTCCAAAATGTTACTATGGACATGCATTAAAGTCAGATGTGTCAGTCTCTTCTGTGTCATATTACTCTAGTTGTAGAGGTGGTGGGCTGAGGAGTAGCTGGTGGTCCACTCTTTTTATTGGGTTGTTTGTTGGAGAAAAAAATCCAAAATCCTTTTTTGCGCCATTCTAGAAAGTTGTTACTCTGCAGTGTGTGTGTCGCGTCAATTACGTCACTCTCCCAGGACCTACGACCTAGATGACTCGGATTTTACTTATTTGGAAAATAAATTCAAGCCACCTGATATATACAAATTAGGGCCGGGACTCGATTAAAAAAATTAATCTAATTAATTAGAGGCTTTGTAATTAATTAATCGAAATTAATCGCATTTTTAATCACATATAAATATTTGACCTGAGAACAGTGAGAAGCAATTTTTTTCACATGGATTTTAGTATACCATTAGGCGCATTCACACCGCAGTACTTTTCCCACAAAGGTTCATGAGAACTTAGTTCATGAGAACAAATGAAGCCGCTGACGTCACTTCTTCTTCTTCTGCTTTGGGTTTACTGGCAGGCCGCAAACCACTTCACGGCGTATACTGCCGCCCAAAGTCCCCGGCCGGAAGTCCCCGGAGTTGGGGACTGGCTTCAGTAGAAGCTGCTGGGAGTCCCAGCAGCTTCTACTGAAGCCTTCCGAGTAAATCGCCAGAACGCCGACACCTCCTCATCTCCACCGCTCCCATGTTTTATTTTGTGTTGCCATAAGTTAGTCTCTCTGCGTTTCTGCGCTGGGCTAATGCTAATAATGCTAATGCGAGGATATGGCGACAATATAACTTCACAAACTTTTTGGGAGTTTTACGGGGCGTGGTTTGCAATCCGCCCAGCCAATCAGAAATATAGCTCTCTTCTCACAAGAGAGCCGTGTTTCGTGGGGTGAACTAATTTTAGTACCGGCTCTTTTTGGTGTGAACGCGATAAAAGAGGCTAACGTCCACGCTAGCTTCCACGCTAGCTGCTATATGTTTTGCATTGAGGTGATACTTGAGGCTTGATGTGCTGCGGTGATATGCGAATTCCTTTTTGCATAATTTGCAAACAACCGTGCTCTTATCGACGCTTCCATCCGTCCGTTTTTTAAAACAACATTTCCCACTGTTGTTCACTGTGGTTTGTTGTTGTCTGAAGTCATGAACGTTAGTTGGTGCTCCAGTATAATCGGTACGCCTGAAACTCATCCAGTGAGAAACGTTCCGCGGTGCAAAAATAAGTGCGATTAAAATGCGTTAATTTTTTTAACGCGTTAATTTTTGTGTAATTAATTAATCTTAATTAACGCGTTAAAGTCCCGGCCCTAATACAAATATATACTATGACTATTATATGCTACTGTATACAGCTAATTTTATTTTAAGTAAAATCATAACTATTTTATGTAGTTTAATCATTTTTATTTAGGTGGTCACTCAGTTTTTCAAATGTACACCACTCGCCAACAGGGGGTGCTGCAGCACCCCCATCACCCCTACTTCCCGCGGCTATGTAATGCGCTATAAATGCGGTTGCCAGGTCCACATTGGGTATACAGCGTACGCCGGCTGGTGTTAAAAATCACCCAATAACCCAGCAATGTTAATGATAATATCTTCTCTGTTATTTCCAGGCATTCAAAGGGAACAGAGGGGCACTGAGGGCATCCTATCAAGTCAAAAAAAAGTGAATCAGTTGCCAAGTGTTGGAGTTTCTTTGTCTCTCAGAGTGTTTTACAGCTAGCTCTGTTCATTTAAGTGTTTAAAAAATGTGTGTACATAGTTTTTGATCTAGTGAAAAACGTAATGTTGCACTTCTGATCATTTAAATGTGGTTTCACCTGTGATGTACTGTACACTGCACTTCCTATAGTTAGTGTTTTGTCCCTTTCTGTTGACAACATGTTCGTTCTTTGTTCATTTAAAATAGTTTAAAATCGTGTGTGCATAGTTTTTGAGCTAGTGACAAACTTAATATTGCACTTTTGATAATTGTATAATTTAAATTTGATTTGTACTGTATATACTTGACTGCACTTCCCATGTTTCGTCTTTCTGCTTTGATCGTTATATTTTCTGGGCAAGCTCAAAGGGAAGGTTGTTATGGTGAGAAACCTAATTGCTGCGAAGCACTTTTATAATTAAATAAATATTTTCATTTTAAATTCATGGTGTGTTGCATTCTTTGTTTAACTGTAGATATTATGGAAAATCATGACATGTTTTGAGCTTGGGTCCCTTAGGACCACAACATTTATGTTTTGGGTCTCATGCTGAAAAAGTTTGGGAACCCCTGCACTAATAGAACATAAGCATAAATTAGCAGTGAAAACAAAAAACATAGGCACGGCGGCCTCAGAATGTGTGTAAAACTGACATCCACATAGGGTACACAACGGTACTACTACTTTTATCGATAGCGCTTATGCTTATGCTCCAGGTTCAGTACCAATCACATCATAAAGTATGCGGGCGATACAACAGTGGTGGG